TGTTGTTGTAGTTGTTGTTGTTTAGCAGGCCGGGCTGGGTTTGAACCCACCAGCCCTAGCACACGCAGCCGGTGCCTTAACTGCTAAGCTACAGGCGCCAAGCCACACCAGAAGATTTTTGAGCTAGGATATTTAGTATGTTGGTTCCACACAAACAGAACAGTTTTTATAGGCAATTTGCTAAATCATACCTAAACTGTAAAAGCCTACTGAAAGTTCACTGAGAACAGGCTCCGTCAAGGGCATAGAGGATCAGAGTCAAACAGGTGCAGTATCAGCTTTTATGGCTCTAACACCAAGGACAGGGAAAAACTATTTCTAGGTCACCTGGTAATGTGTGGTCCTCAGATTAGTCTCCAGAAAAAGCTGGATCACAGACTGGTCTCCAGACTCATGTACATAAATTCATTCCACAAGAATCTTATCAGATATACAGCTGACTCTTGAACAACACAGGTTTGAATTACTGGGGTCCACTTACATGCAGATTTCCTTCTGCCTCTGCTACCCAGGGAACAACACAAACCCCTCCTCGACTGCCTCCTTGTTAGCCTGAAGACCTTTATGATGACCCACATACATTTAATAAGTAACAAATCCTTTTTTTTTCATGTCAGATGGGTAATGTGCCGACATCGTAACAAGAGTTGTGGGAGGCACATCTCACACCTGCTCATGAAAACCCAATCATCACTCTTATCAACTACAAAAGGATCAAGTAACAAATTTATATAATTTTTTTTCATACACAGACTCACAGGCAAGATCCTTATGACTCTCTTAATAACATTATCTTTCTCTAGCTTACTTTGCTGTAATAATACAGTCCATTTTACATAGAACATTGAAAACGAGTTAAACAGACGGTTTATGTTACCAGTAAACCTTCCACTCAACAGCAGGTTATCAGTAAAGTTTCGGGGGAGTCAAAGTTTTGTGGACTTTCAGTTGGGTTGTTCAAGGGTCAACCGTAATTAGTCTATCAGCCAATTCGTGTACAGAATTCCTGTTGCCTCAAAAATCTTCGGTGGTTCAGGCCAATGTTTCACAAATGAAACACAGATCCGCGAGCCCGCCGCAGCGGCACCGACTGCTCCCTCCGCAGGCAGCGCCCGGAACCTCGGCCCGCGCTGCCCTCAACCTGGCAGAGCCCCCGGCCCGCGCGCACAGACCTCCTTAGAAAACGCCTGTGCCGTCAACACCCCGGCGGCAGAGACTCCTCCACATCCCGACCCGCGAGGAGCCCAGCACCCAGCGCCACATACCTGACGGAAGAACGCAGCCATCGCGCTGAGACCACAGCAGTTCCGGCGCCGGAAGCAGCTGCCCTCGCCGACACGCCACTTCCGGCGCCCACCCCGCCCTCCCCACGCCCAGTGGCTGCGCACAGCGCGTTCCGCCGCCCACCCCGTGGGACGGCACCCGGCCGGAAGACTAGCGCGCGGCCTGAGCTCCGTAGCAGCTGCGCCGTCCGCCCCGAGAGTAGCCGGGTTCCACACCTGCTAAGGATGAGTTTAAAATCCCTCTTGACAGGCAGAATGCAACTGTAACCTTGGTTCCAAGAGGCCGTTTCCTGTGGTGCAGGTCACTCTACGGTCGAGACCCCTTCCTGAAAACAGGTCCAGTTCCGGAGAGAGACGCTTATTCCGCATGGTCGCTGGTCGCACGCACGCTTGGCTTCACCGTTTTTAAAGGACACGACCCAAGTAATCAAATATAGGAGCTGTGGCACATTTCTTTGTCAGCAAAAGCCCGCCCCTCTGGAGGTCTCCTTTCCTCTTTGGACGAAATACAGTGAAGTTTCTGCCGAAGGTGTGTTTACCCTGCCATTTCACCTCTCAGCCTGCTTGGGTCCAGAGCCGGATGATAGAATAACATTACTGACCTGCCCTGGAAGGATCCAGTACATGTCCCTCCCAGGAAATAGTGAATGGGCCAATCTCTGCCTCTCTGACCCTTTCCCACCCACCATCTGCCTAGGTAGACTGACCTGCCCAGGAAGTACCAAGTGTATGTCCCTCTGACCCTTTAAAATCCCCAACCAGGCTCGACGCTTGTAGGTCAGCGGCTAGGGCGCCGGCCACGTGCACTGAAGCTGGCGGGTTCGAACCTGGCCAGGCCTGCCAAACAACGACAACTACAACACCAACCAAAAAAAATAGCCGGGCGTTGTGGCAGGCGCCTGTAGTCCTAGCTACTAGGGAGGCTAAGGCAAGAGAATCGCTTAAACCCAAAGTTTGAGGTTGCTGTGAGCTGTGACACCACGTACTCTACCGAAGGCTACATAGTGAGACTCTGTCTCTAAATAAATAAATAAAAATAAAATCCCCATCCCTATGCCCACATGTAGATTTCTTCCCGGTCAGGAATTTCAGAACCATCACCACCACCACCACCCGCTACCTCACCCCCAGCACCCAGGTGAAATAAAAGCCACTTTGATCACACAAAACAGGACTCTGTTTTCCTTTCATCTTGGCGCCTGGGAATAATCTTTCATCTTTGGGTCTGAACCTCTCACCAGGTATCTTTCAAAAAGGGATAGTTAGTTATGCAGAAAAAAAAGCTGTGCTTTCTCAGCTGCCTAATTTCACCACTTCTAAGACATCTCATTTTATATTCTTTCTGAAATGGGATAAAAGACTTGATTCTTGGCATTTACAGAGTATCTGCCTTGTTCCACACTATATATTTAAGTATTTATGTAAAAGTATATTTCATTAAAAAGATTGTATTAAAGAAAAAGAAAAGTGCAATCTGTGTAGAACTAAAAAATTGGTTGTTTTTGTTGTCCTTATAATATCTTATTTTCTTTTTAGAATATTCAGCTGCCGGCTCGGCGCCTGTGGCTCAAGTGGCTAAAGCCCCAGCCACATACACCTACGGTGGCGGGTTCAAATCCCCAGCCCAGGCCCACCAAACAACAATGATGGCTGCAA